TCAGTGGCCTGGGGTACGCAGGGTTGCTTCTTTCAGTGTTAGCTCCAGTTTATACCAACTCGAAGTAGTTGTGACACTACAGTATACACTCCTGTGCAAAGCACAGCTTGACAGTCTACCTATTACATGTCAATGATAACAAACCCCTGAATAACTAAACCTAAGTTCTCTTTCCAAGCTTACCAAGCAGTCCCACAATGAAAACAGCTCACAGAGACTCTCATCATTCAAAAGAGTTCACCATTTGCAAACTGCCTGGACAAACCACTGCTTTTCAGTGTGCTGGGGTGTTCAGTAAAGAACAAACGTGCAAGGAGACACAGATCTGTGTGCAGTGTCAAAGCTTTTGCATAGCTTGCTTTATTGGCAAAATACACAAACCCTCTCCCTTGCAAGGAGGACTTTCCAAGCACGTAACCACCGTCCAAGTCTAGTAGGTGTTGCACACCAGCCACAAGCAGCTGGATACTCTTGGACACCATGGATTTTCTCAAGGACATGTGCATCTGTTGCCTGCAAGACCGCCCTAAGCTACAGCCAAAACTTCCACAGGACACCTACCTGCTAGGGGAACCTGAATTTCCACCTCGGTCCCACAAGGGGGTAATGTTGAGCTGAACAAACTCAGGGCTGAGCTACACCGAGTAATGGCTGCTCTTACCACTGCCACCTCTCCTCTGGAACCAAATCAACCCGGCTCATTTTCCCTTCTTCTGAAGGGGTGCCACTTCTGGTACCGCTCAGTGGCACCAGCAAGATCTCCATCTCACTGCAGTATGGGTAACCTCAAAAAAGGCATTGAGTCCTGCTGCTTATGGGACAAGAATCGTTGAAGATTTGAGGAAAGGGCAGAGCTGTGTTATGCACAATGGGAGCGGATCTCTCCGCTTGTTATTGCTACCCACCAGTTTGACCTTGCCACTGGAGTCGAGAGACCGTGGGAGCATCCAGCACTTTGCAAAATCTGCAGTTTCCAGACTAAAACCCACATACGTTCCTCCCCTTGCCCAGCCGCGCACTCTGTGCCCTAGAAAGAGCATCGCCTGTTCTTGTGACCATTCAAAAGAAGATTTGAGCAGCACAAGCACGCAGGGTGTGGTTGCACAGCAGTTTAAGCTGATGTAATTCGCAGTGGCTGCCATCCCACCCTCCTCTTCCGTGTGCTCCTACCCCCTCCCTTGAGCCAGCTCCTTTTTATTTTCAGCTGGATCACCTCCCTAAACTGGCTTTTTGGCCCAAGAGTGGAGGCAAAAGCCTGTGGCTGTGGGCATCACCAGAGCAGTCCTGTCTTAGATTTAAGCATTCAAGAGACTGCCTGCCTTCTGCTTCTCTTCCTGAAAGACTACTCCTTGTTGGGATCTTCCACCGGCGTCAGGGGAAACTGGCTTCTATGAAAACGTAATGGGAAAATCTGAGAAATAATACATCTGCTGGGATTTTCTTTTGTTATATCCTAAACATAAAATTAGTTGTTTCACCCAGAAATAGAAGTTGTGGAAAAAGAAATAAAAATACATCCGATCGTACATATGCAAACAATGCTCTAAGTGAGATTTAGCACGTGGTTCCTTCGGGAGCCCTCTGCGGCACTCTGTGAGGACCCAGATCAGCTGGCATGGGGAGGTTTAACTTGTCAGCATGGTTGTTTTTCATTCCAGCAACTGGGGAAGCACCAAACTTGCCCTTGAGCAGGGAGCAGAAGAGCCCAGAGGGCCCTGAGGACTCCATCGGTCAGAGGCTCTGGTTGGACGTGCTTCTCCATCCCTGCAGCCAGGGCCCCCACTCAAAGACACAGTCGGGGCCTCTGGACAGCATGCAGAGCCTCGGGGAGGGGGAAAGGGACTCCTCATCTGCATCTCAGCTGCTTTGCAGAGCACTTCCTCAGGGGAAGAAGTGCTGCTCTGTTGGCATCCCTTGGAGATCAAGGGGGGCTGATGGAAACGAGCTGGCCTAAGGCAGCCTAATTTGCATGCTTGTTTTATAACGTTTGCAAGTATTGATGTTGAAGGGGGAGAAAAACAAAAAAACCCAACCCTAACCAGTGTAGACTCTCAGCTGGGGAAATGCACAGCTTTACCCCATCTTTAGCCAGCAAAGATGTGCCTGGGCTTCTTCCTCCCTTGAAAGGGCAGCCTGAGCAGGAGGTTGGAGCAGCCCAGGGCAAAGGAGGTTCAGCTTTTTCCTTCCTCAAAGAAAGGATGTTTCTGTCCCATTTTCCTCTCAGCATGTGGGAGGGATGCTCTGAGGCTCTTGTAAGTCATTGATCCCTTTCTAAACGAGCCAGAGCACTGCAGCGTGACCCGCAGAGCGGCAACCACAACTCAGGAAATTCAAATCAGCTTTATTCTCTTCTGAGATATCTGCTAAAACAGAAGCAAAGCACTGAGAATCAGCGCAGAGCTGGGGACCGACAGGGATTGTTTGACAGTGCTGCCAGGGAAATCTGAATGGCCTACAGGGAAGCCTGGCTGAACAGAAAACAGCCAGCGTTGCCACAGCATTAATTGCAGACATCCTGGGATGACATCTTAGTTGGGATCCATTCTCAGCAACTCCGAACAGAAAGTACAGCTGCTGCTGCCAGGGCTGGGTTTAGGCCTCAATCAGTTCCCACAAGAGACAATGCAGCCTCAAAACAAGCTCTGCCCGCTTCCCAGGCAGGCAACATGCTTCCCTGCTCCCAGGAAAGTTGTCCGTTTTCTCTGCCTGCTCCTCTCCCCCTCCACCTATCTTCCACCACTGCCTTTCAGCTCTCACACACCCTGTACCACCACCAAGAAAACACCAAGCGAACGACACTTTATCCTTTCCCCACTAATTACAGCAGGAGGTGCGTGACATGGCTGAACCCAGCCCGGCACAGCAAAGGCTTGTTGCAGGACTTGGTGCCGCAGCAGCAGGTTTTGCCCTGTGAATCCCCAGGGGCTGCAGCAGCAGAGCAGAAGGAAGAGACACACACACACACACATACCCCCCTGCACATATGCATTACTGCAAGGGCAAGAGCAAACAGAAACAGGAATGTCTTCAATGTGAGGAAGTCCGGAAAGACCACAGACATAGCAGCTTTCAGTGGCAGGACACACTGCTGAGGCAGAGGTACTCTTTCTTTGCCTTAACTTGCCTTGGCTGACTCAGATTCCAGTAAGCTGAGCTACTTTTCATTTACAGTAAATTGAAGAAAACCATCTTATCATTAGGAATCACCAGTGTGCAGAGAACAGAAACACCCTCCAGGAGGGGAGAGGGCAAAATTCTGAAGAGCCTAAAAACTTCATAGGACTTGCATCTGTATTAACTCCCACACTGTGGGACATTTGTGGAACATTTTTTTGTGTCTGCAACTTGGAGTTATTTTAGATGAACAAATCCTTAAAAACAGTAAAAGTAGAATTTGGTTTTGTTCTTAAGCTTTCAAAATAAGATGCTGTGAGGCAACTGAGGGTAATCAGATGCAGACACACAGACCATAAGCAAACGCAATAGCTTGTACAAAACGTGCACATATGCACGTGCCCTACCAGGCTAAGCTGTAAGTTCTCTGTTAAAGGCAAATACTCAGTGATTCACTGAAACAAGGTCAGCACCACACTGGATTTGCCTGGGACCCATGTACTCCAGTACCATAACTCTGCTGCAGGGATGCAGAATTGTCTCCCAAACGCACGGATCAGCAGTAGTCCATGGGATGGTAACCCCTCCATAGAGGTCCTATTCTGATCTTTAAACTTCAGAAATTGAACTCTGAAGAAGGTGGTTTAATATCTCTCCCTGCATGGATTATTAATAACTGCATGAGATACTTTTGGCTTCCCATTATTTCTCAGACCACACTAACTACTTGGCCTCAGGTGACATCCTACAGGAATGAGCTACACTGTCACATTTGCTGTGAAAAAATATTACTTAGTTGATTTTGAGTTTTCTGCATGTTATATCTCCTTACGCTTGCATATAAAACAGGAAGAATTTCCTGATCTATCATCTCTAAATATTTTATTGTTCTACGTTCTTTTATCTTCTTCTATTTTCCTCCTTTCTAAAACATGCAGTCCAAATCTTACCAATTTGTCTCATATATGAGATTCTGTTTTCCTGGTCTCCCTTCTCTAACTTTCTTCCTAGAGCTGCCATCCACCTGGGGCTGGACATGTGCACTCTTGAGCCACCTCTAAGACTTTTCCAGGATTATTGCAAACATTGAGAAGATCACAGCACCTTTACAGAAAACAATAGAACTGTTTTATACCATTAAACCAATTCTCCCTGGCTACTACAAAAGACATGACATTTTATAAACTAAAGACATACTTGCAGATGTGGGTCAATCTCGAATATTGTCTCTCCTCTTCGCATATCTGTTATCAACCAGGGGCCTCCAGCTCTAAAAGAAAGCAAGAAAGCTAATGAACCAAACAAGCACTTTAGCTAATACTCCCCAACAGAGTCCTCAGAGTGGACCTGTACTGGAAGGAAGCACAAGACAGAGTTTAAAACAAGCCTAGAAGCCCCTCTATGTCATGTACACATCCCATAGCATGCATTTGTCCTTTACATTTCCCAGATACATAATGAAAACCCTCCATGACCTAGCTGTTATCTGCCTAGTGTCTGGCACCACCAAGTCTTGCAAAGCAGTCAGGATTGACACAGGCTATCCCCTGCATGGACCCACTTACTCATACAAGACTAAACTGGGTTTTAATCTTACAGGTAACTGAATTGAGACTGAGAAGTCCAGTGTAGCCTAGGTCTAAGATGGATGGGCAAGGCACGGGGTCAAGATTTATGCCTCTGTTACATTTATAAAGATGCAGCAGGGTCCCAATGGGACTGCACTTTTTTGCTGAGATCGGCAGTCATGTTCAGTACCATAAAAATCTTATTGCTCTGATAAATATCCTCACAATAGATGTTTTACCCAGTTGGTACTTAATGGCTGAGTTACTCAGATGGTTCAGGGAAATTGTTGTTTTCATTAGCAATAAAAGTCGGAAGGGTCAAGATGTTTCCCAACAAAGGTGATAGAAAACAGATTACTGTGAAGATGAACTACTCAGAGACTTTACTTTGGGTCACAGTGCAGGCAGACTGCAGAAGTCAGCCTTAGATGGTGCTTTTCATTTGAAGTAAAAACTGAAGTCTTTTGGAATTGCCATAAAAATTTTCATTTTTTTCATGAGATACTTTGTTATTGCAGTCAAAAGCCCCCTCCTCTGGCCTTGTCTGTGTTACCATCTCCTAAAGCACTTGGAGTGGGAGCAATAAAAGTTAATATTTTATAGATTTTCAGATGTATCGATAGCCACTCTTTTTTCACATCACTTTGGAAGCTGTTAATTATTAACTGCAGAGGTGTGACCTGCTTCAGTTTCTTGCTGGGATGCAAGAGGCTTTTACCCTGACTCCACCATCATTGACTTAGTAGTTTGCAGGTTTGCCTCCAAATCATGCACATTTGGGTTGTATTTTATCCTTGGAAAGGTGCTTGTACCACAGCACAAAAGCCAAAAACCAACGTGAGAACAAACTGAGGAGAGAGGTGCTATATCTGTGTTGACTTAGAGGACCCAAGGGAGCTGCAGGCAGTTTTTATTGTCTTGGGGTCCCAGAAACAAAGCTTGCAGCTGGACAAATTCACTCTACTCTAGGGCACTCGCATAAATTATCTGCACTTGTGCTTAAAAGGGAAAAGTTCAAGTTTAAAAAGTTCAGCGGCAAAGGCTCTTCCAAATAATCAATCAATTAAAGGCCATTGTAACATTAGAGAGTGTACTATTGTGCCCAGGAACACATATTCAGAACCATTTTGTTTAAAAAACAATAAAAATCTTTTGAGCTACGATCACGCAGCAATAACTTCTACTAAATATAAGAGAAAAATATTTAAACAAAACAGCTGCAAGACAAAAAAGTTTAGCTGCAACCTGGCAGCAAATAAAGCATCAACATATCATTTAACCTTTAAAACCCATCTCCTCCTTGACCCAATGACATGTTTGTTTTGCCATGGGAGAAATAACAATGAACTTCACTTGCATGATCACTCCTCCTGTTGCAAACTGGCCCACCAAGAGTGGGACCAGTTTGAGAGTGACTTTCTCACTTTCAGACAGTACACAAGCTTTGCTAGGCACTGTAAGTCAGACCCTCTCCTTTCTTTTGAACTACAGAGAGGTCACTGTAACAGTTATCCCAGCTCTCTCAGGAAGAACCAATGAGAAAATGCTGCAGGCGCAAGAGGAAGGAAATTAAGCTTTCAAGACCTCATTCTGTTTCACCCTGAACATGTGGACTTCCACATGCATTAATTTGCCATCTAAGCGTCTGTGCGTGAGAACAGATTTGCAACGAATTCCCATCTCTTGCTACAACACAGGATTAAATAAGTTCCATCAACAAGTTAAAGATTGTTAATAAAAATAAACAACTGAATTGTTCTCTAAGGGAATGCTCCTCCTCTATATATGGGCTATATGAGCACTTACACTGGGACAGTCCGAAGCAGTTCCAAGATCCCTTGCCCATTCCACTGCTGAGCCGCATGCAGTTCCTCAGTGCAAACCCCAACAATCTGGAATAAATAACAATAGAGATACTAAACTGAATGGGAACCGTGCGAGAACTATAGAGAAAACATGTGGTGCTGCATCAAACAGTGCAGATACAGACAAGCGCTATTTCTTTAAAATAAGCAAGGACAAATGGTGCCTGAGACAACAGAGGGATTCTGCAGTTCCTTATGCCCTCTCTCCACGCTTACCATGTGAAGTGCCCTGGTCATGTAACATTTAATCTTGTGTGGCGTGTGTGAACTTAACTATGACGAGGGCCTGGTGATAAATCAAGGTTTACTGAAGACCCACTAGTGAATGTTAGTCTGTTCTCACTCTTCAAGTCTAGTCCACATGGACAGGTTAGGGTCTGAGGAGATGCAGAACACTGCTCTGTCAGCCAATTGCTAAGGGCAAATGCAATACTGCACCAGCAATTTCAATCAGGCAAAGGACCCACTGCCACAAGAGAGTGCTTTGGTGCTCATCAATCCTTGACCAACTGAGTTTGCTGACTGGTTACATCTTACCTGGCATCATAAAGTAAAGCTGCTTACACATCGCATAATCCGCTCGACACTGCAGGCAATCGCAGACTTCTGCCTTCCTGTATAAGGCAGGATGTGTTTGCTTTTCAGGATGGGAGCTGCCACACTGAGCAATACCAGATGTCCCTCTCTCAGCAGCTGAGATCAGCCGCTTCAAATGAAGGGGTGCAACACCCTCCAGCTGATAGAGGAAGGCAGTTTCTTCCTGATCCGTCAACCGATGGCTTGTGCCTCTGAGCATAATGATTCACTCTTTGGGATGAAAAATTATTTTAGCCATGGCCTTCTATTTTCTTTCTCAATACTCTAAGCCATTTCCAACGACATTGAATTTTTGGTCAAAATCTATTCAACTGATGTTTTATCAGAAAAGAGGAAAACTGAAAACTGAGTTCTGAAGAGCAGCAAGCAGAAGTGCGTGATGTGCCTTTGATGCAAGCGCGTATCTGCGCTGATAGAGAACTGTGTGGAAAACCATCAAGGTCAGCATGTTCCCAATTGTGCACACCGTACCTCCCCTGCCCCTTGCAGAGCTCACTGTCTCAGGATCCAGCCCTTGCAGATGCACTTCATCCCCACCCATCTTCCCAGGCTTCCTCCATGAACAGCCTGAATCACCCTTGCTTCAGCACACCCCTCCCTGGGCCTTCACTCACTAATTACATACAAACAGCTAGACTCTAAACAGAAAGTTATTTTGCATTCATTCTTTTCTTTTTGCAATCATTTATCCTCATGGGTCAAAATAAATCCATAACAACAAGCATCAAACAAAGGGGAAAAACAAGTCAACTGGATGTGTTGTGGAAGATTAGAGGCCAAGAGCCTCAGGATCCAACAAGCTGACTGTCCTTCGACCCAGGCTAGCTGGGCACTAAAGAAGAGATGCGGACTAACGCAGCACTAACTGGGGAGTCAGCCAGGAATCACCCTGCTTAGCTTGGCTCTCTATTTCTGCTTCCAGGTCCCACAACACACCTTTCACTGATTAATCCCACACTCATCTCTTTCTTGTTGATAAAACACCTCAGAAGACTCGGGAAAGCCTCTGCCCTTGCACAGCAGTTGCCTTGTGCAGGTCTGTGGTAATGGAGCTTCCCCTTACATGTTGCAACTACAGCCAAGGACAACTGGGAGCAACTTGAAGCTTAAATTGTAAAATACATACACTTGCAGGGAGAAATCAGCAGTTGGTATAAACTATGCCAGCTCTTCCACTAAGCTTAATAACTCCATATGCAATTTTAAAATGTCCAAAGCAGCCCATATTTAAGAGACATCACTGAGAAGGACTTTGGGAAAGCAAGCAAACCTGTTTGGCCAAGGAAGCTCCCCTCACTGAACAGTAGGGTTAAATCGCAAGGAATTTTTTAAACGTTTCTTTTGCAAAGCAAACCTGAACTTTTCTTAAACAGTAGATCAATTCAGGAAAAAACTCACTTATCCTCTAAAGAGTCATTGTATCAATGCTGCAACCTACATTTCTGCCATTAAATAATGCTAAAGCAACTCTGAGTTGTGCTCCAAACTCTTCTTTTCCTCAAACTCAAACCAGTGGATCATTTACCAATACTGCCATAGAATTAATTTGAATTTAGCTTTACATTACCTTTTAGGAGTGTTTTATTCAACTTTTTTCCC